GATTTGTTCCCTCTTTTGAGCTACTGCTTCCATAGGTGTAGGTCAAGTTCATCAAATTGTATCAGATTCTTTTTTTCCTTTTCTTTATTTTTCTGGTTGACCTCTGATCATCCAGCCATTGAAACCAGGCCAGGTGGGTATTATCTGCAAGTGTGGGTGTTCTTATGCATCTGCCCTCTCTTCTTATCAGCTGGACGCTTCACTCTCCACTCTAGTCCTCTGTGGCTAGGTCACTGACTCTGGGCCCCATTGTCTCTTTCTTTGGTTTTGTCTTCTCATTAGATGTAATCGTTAAAGATACTCACTCTTTAGTTCTTTCCCAGTGATTTCTGTCATTTCCTTTGGTTTACTTACTAACGATTTTCATGTCTGCTCATATTACACACATGTTTTTACATGTTACATACTGTGTGTTCTAGGTTCTCTAACATATTAATGACACTTCTTTTCCATTTGTAGTGTGACAACTCCAAAATCTGTGATGTATGTTTGAATTCTTTTGATGCTTGGTGTATCTCTTCATAGTTTATTTTTTTGTTCTTCCTGTACCTCCTAGTAACTCCTAGTGCTTTAAAAAAAATTTTGTTACAGTTTTCATCTTTGTATCAATTTCTGTAAAAGTTCACATTTTATATCCCAGCGTGTGTCAAAAAGTTCCTGGGAAAGAGTGTCATCTCTCCATTCTGTCTTTGTATGAACTTTTTGATAGCCTGTCAAATGTACATGTGTGTTTACTCTTTTGTGTGTATAGCTCATATGTATACGTGTATGTGTGTGTATACTATGCATATGTTGTTGTTGTGAAGTGCCGTTGAGTCGGTTCTGACCCATAGCGACCCTGTATAGGGTGTCCGAGGAGCTGCTGGTGAGCTTGAACCGCCAATCTTGCAGTTCAAACAACTTTTGCTGTCTGGCGCATTAACCCACAGCGCCACACCAGGATTCCATATGTATATGTGTGTATATATGTATACACACACAACTCAATGGCACTTAACAACATGTGTATATATATGTATGTATATATGTTGTTAAGGGCCGTTGAGTTGGTCCCGACCCATAGCAACCCTTTATAAGCTTTTTGAGGAATTTGAACCACTGACCTTTTGGTTCAAATCAACTTTGCATTCCAGTGCACTCACCCGCAGCGCCATATCAGGACTAGACAGACACACAGACATGACAGACAGACAGGTAGATGTAACCTCTTTCCTCTCCACACCCAGATTACGGTAACGTTACCTGTCGTGCACATATTTCTGTTCTGTCCTTTGCTATATCTGCTTTACCACCGTGATGCAGCCTCTGTGTCTGCAAAGCCCTAAATCAGGTTTCATAAATGAATGCAGTCCCGGTTCTGAGTTTGAAAGAACAGAGTCTGTGTCTGAGACGTAGGCCTTTGCCAGGAGAACGAGCTCAGTGTAGTCGTAGTTACGAGGACGCACACTGCTATGCGTGAGGCTTACACTTTACAGCTTGGCATATGGTATCCGATTGTTACGGTTTCGCCGTTCTCCCAGATTTGTTGGCGTCATTCTGTTCTTGTACACATTATGGTACATCATCTCATGCTGATCCGGAATGTGTGGGATGTTCTAGGGCTCGATGGGCATTGAGGACGTGGCGGTGGTCTTCAGCCCAGAAGAGTGGGCTCTGCTGGATCCTGCTCAGAGGGAACTCTACAGAGATGTGATGATGGAAACCTTCACAAACCTGGCCTCAGTCGGTAAGAGTGGCACCTCCCTTTTTTTGTAAATTTTTTTTTTATACCTTTGTTGTTGTCAGGTCCTTTCGAGTTGGTTTCAACTCACAGGGAATGTAGGCTTCTATGCGCATCAGAAGAAAACACTGTCTAGTCTTGTGTCTTGCTCACTGTGTCGGTCCATTGTCCGTCTTGTTGGGGGGTCTTCCTTTTGTCTTTGACCCTCCACTTTACCAAACATGATGTCCTTCTCCAGGGACTGTTTTCTCCTAATGATACATTCAAAGTATGAGACACAAAGTCTGGCCATCCTGGCCTCCAAGGAGCACTGTGGGTACACTTCTTCCAACATAGATCTGTTGGTTCTCTGGCAGCCCATGGCATTTTCAATATTCTCCTCTAACACCATTACTCAAAAGCTTCATTTCTTCTACAGTCTTCCTTATTCATTGTCCAGCTATCACATGCATATGAGGCTATTGAAAATCCCATGGCTTGGATCAGGCGCACGTGAGCTCATAGAATTTAACTTTGTTGATTAAAAGATGTCTTGTGTGGTGGCAACAAAGGATAAGCACTGAACTGTAAGGTTGGTTTGCATTGCCAGATCGGTGGTTCAAATCACCAGTTGCTCCTTGGAAAGCCTATGCAGGCTTGCTGTGGGTCAGATTGATTCAACAACACTGAACCACGGTGTTGATTGGGCTGTGAGTAAGATGTGTGCCTGCCCGTCTTCGGAGCCCCTGAAGAGCAGGATGTGCTGTCTGGGTCCGGGAGATGGTCACTGCTCTGCGCAGTCTTCCCTTGTGACGTGCGTTGCTCCGTCAGCCGCATTGTCAGCACATAGCCTGTTGCTGTTTCAGTGTTTCCCGAGAAATGAGGACAAGAGACAGGACTCATCCAGGCCCGAGTGTCAATGAGCAGCAGTGAAGGGAAGGAAAGAGCTGAACATAGGACACGTGACTTACGCAGGGCCACGAGGCCGAAACACCAGGAAAAGCATGTTTTGGAAAGACCATCCCACACAGAGGGTCCCGTCAGGTTCAGAAGGTCTCTCTAGGTTGAGGAATCTCCCGAGTCCTGAGCACACTTTTCTAATCTCAAGAGTCCCCTTAATCTTAAAAGTCCCAGAGACCCTTTGCTTTGTATAGTGTTGTCGAATATCACTGGACAAGAGTCCCCTTACTCGTGGGTCCAGAGACCCTTTGCCTTGTATAGTGTTGTCGAATATCACTGGACTGTTTTTAAGTGCTGTTGAGTCAGTTCTGACCCAGAGTGACCCTGTATAGGGTTTCAAGGAGTCGCTGGTGGGTTTGAACTGCCGACCTTGTGAGTCAAACTGACTTTGCTGTTGGGTGCATTAGCCTGCAGCGCCACCTATCTTTGTGCACATTTCTTCTCAATTCTAATGGAATTGTGTCCTACTGGATCGCTGTAGACCGTGGCCAGAGTGGTTAAATAGCAGAACGTGATCGAATCTTCCTTCTCAGCGGCCTTTTGCCTTTTGTTTCTCTCCTAAAAATCTCTCCCGCCTTTTTGTTGCATATTGTGAACCTCAACTTGAATGATTGGATAAGTCTCTTACAACCTCAGTGACAAAGAGAAGTGGCCCAGTGAACCCACCGTGCTCCGGTCCATGAAGAACAACCCTTGGTCCTCCCTGTTACCTGAAATCTCCGACTGTCCGCTCACTAACGATCAGCTCCAACACGAGCACCAGGAGACGTGTCTGAGGTGAGTGTGAGTCGAAGAAGACGAGCACGTCAGTGGAAGGTCCTCACAGGTCAGGACATGAAATGATACAGAGAGATGTTCCTGCCCAAGTAACAGAGCTTCATTCGTAATTGTCGGGGTACAGGAAATGTTGGGGTTCAGGAAGGCAGCCTGCTTGTCTCACAGCACGCGGGTCTATTACCCACTAGGTTTTAGCTCAAGACGAAACAGTCAGTGCTGACTTATTAACAAACACATGTCTCTGTCTACACAGTATTGCCAGTAACCTCGTTCCTACATGAATCGTGACTTTCCCGAAAGGCATGTTCACACGCTGTCCAAATTTTACATCATTGTGGTAACGGGCCATCGAGTTGGTACCGACTCATAGTGACCTTATGCACAGCAGAATGAAACACTGGCCGGTCCTGGGCCTACCTCACGATCATTGCTGATTCATTAGGAACAGATTTAGAGCTCTGATATTTATTAATTTTTATCCATAGATATGTTTTTACATCTGTAAGCCCAGCAGTAAAATGAAGGATTTTTCAGAATGATCACAAAAGCACCATCGTAAATGTGAATTGGATATCGAGTATATGAAACATGTTTCATTTTCATAACCAATTTCCAGAAAATGGTATATGTTAAAATAATAGTCTTTTTGACAGCTGACTAGGTTGTAAAGGAAGGGACAATGTAAGGGAAAAGCCATGCGTGTTCACTGTGTTGTGTAGCGGTGACCTAAAAACACCCTATTTTCAGTGGTGTATTTATTGTTGTTAGCTTCTCGTTAGCAGCGTCCATAGGGTCGGGGTTGGCCCCACAGGCTATGGCAGCAGTCAGTGTGTGATGGTGTCGCTCTGGGTTCCATGTTGCAGAATGACCGGAAGCAGTCTGCCAGAAGGAAGTCGGTCTGGGTGCTATGAGACTGGAAGGATGTTTGTGGGGCACGCGCCCTATGACCCGCACACCAGAAGTACTGCCCAGGGCCGTAGCTGTGACTCTCAGAATCGTGGGAAGGCCTGCGTTTCCTCCTCCCACGAAACCGCCTCTCTGAAGACGACTCTGGAAAGGCAGAAACTCGGTGAAGACACGGTGTGTGGCAAAGCCTTCAGTCGCTTGTTGACCCCTGACAGTTTGGTGACGACACATGCTGGTGACAAGAAACTGTGTGACAGGAACACACGTGGGCAGGCGGTCGACGGTGCCTCGTCCGTTTGGTCCCACGTGAACGGTCGTACGCCCGGTCACAGAGAAAGCTCTCAGTCCGGTAGTCGTCCTTCTTCCCTCATTCTGCACACGGTGTTCCCTAACCAAGACAAGCGCTGTGTGTGCAAGGAGTGTGGGCAGTTGTTTGGCTGTTCCGGAACCCTTGCCGCGCATGTAAGAATCCACAATGAGCAGAGGCGTCACGTGTGTCAGCAGTGTGGGAAATCGTTCTGTGATTCCTCGGCCCTGACTAAGCACAGACGAACTCACAGCGGAGAGAAGCCGTACGAGTGTCAGCAGTGCGGCAAAGCCTTCAGCAGCTCCTCGGGCCTCAACGCACACATCAAAACGCACAGTGGAGAGCGGCCCTTTGTTTGCAGCAAGTGCGGAAAAGCCTTCAAGCAGTCCGCGTACCTGACCGCACACATCAAAACGCACAGTGGAGAGCGGCCCTTTGTTTGCAGCAAGTGCGGAAAAGCCTTCAAGCAGTCCGCGTACCTGACCGCACACATCAAAACGCACAGCGGCTACCGGCCTCATGTCTGCAAGAAGTGCGGGAAAGCTTTCAAACGCTCCACCTGCCTGACTGAACACATCAAAACGCACAGCCGAGACCGGCCCTTTGTTTGCAAGAAATGCGGGAAGGCGTTCAAGCAGTCTGCGTACCTTAACTCCCACTTAAAGATCCACAGCGAGCTCCGGCCCTACGAGTGTAAGGAATGTGGAAAAGGATTTTGCAGCTCCTCAGGCCTCAACGCACACGTGAAAACTCACAGCGGAGATCGGCCTTACGCCTGCAAGAAGTGTGGGAAGACCTTTAAACGCTCCACACACCTCACCGAACACGTCCGAACCCACAACGGAGAGAAACCTTTCGAGTGTGAAGTGTGCGGCAAGACGTACACCCGCTCCTCGACCTTAACTAAACACAGGCGGAGTCACGGCGGAGAGCCTGCGTGTGAAGCCACGCACGTGGGCAGACCTGTAGACTCCCTTTACTCCTTGCTGCACGTATAGGAGCTCCCAGCGGACAGACGCCTTGTGCACTCAGATAGTGTGGAGAGACCCTTGGTGGTTCAGATTGCCCTCCCAACGGTCAGACGCCCAGTGGAATGAAGCCATGAAGGAAAGGGACGTGGGAAAGCCTTTACTGACGCCTCAAACGTCATCACACTCATTAAGTCAAGAGCGGTCTAAACGAGTGTAAGGAAGGTGGGAAAAACCCTCAGCGCTTCCTCAGGCCTCAGTACACATAAGTGTAGTCGCAGTGGGGAGACACCGTAGAAAGGAACGGACTCTGGGAAGCCTGTCGTCAGCACTCAGATCTCACTGCCCGTAAGAGAACTCACAGTGAGAGACCTGAGCAGGGAGTGTGGGAAACCGGAGCTTCCCCAGCCTTCCTGCAGGTGAGGAAAGTGGGAACGTCTTTCACGCTTCATCCGCCCTCCTATACTGTGTAGGCTCACAGTGGAGAGAAACGGCACCCAACGGGGAGGAGTGTGGAAGTCCTTTAGCATGACTCTCCGCTCCCGCAACAAGAAGGAAGTCCTATCAACCATGTTGTTGTTGTTAAGTGCTGTCGAGTCGCTTCTGACTCATAGCGACCCTGCATGGGTTTCCAAGGAACAGCTGGTGAGCTTGAACCCCTGACCTTGCGGTTCAAATGGCTTTTGTAGTCCAAGCGCGTTAGCTCACGGCGCCACAGCAGATGGAATAAGGTAAATCCTGTAAGACGTTCTCAGCAGCCTTTTCACTTCATAAAGCGCACAGCAGAGCGAGGCTTTCCGCTGTAAAGAATGTGGGATATCCTTTACAGCTCACTGTTCGTGGTTTCTCCATTCTTAGCGGAGAAAAACCGTAGGAATGCCGGGGATATGCGAAAACATTGAGGTGTTTGTCAGAACACACCATACCATGTTGAGGACTCAGGTGAAGACAGACCTTACACGTACATGAAGCCTGGTACAAAACCTTTATTAATGCAAGCAATGTTAGTATACTTTCTTTGTTTGTTTAAGTTTTTTTGGTGACTTGTGAATGAGTGATAGTTTACACGGGAGAACATCGGTTTTACACTCCGCGTTTCATTACTACGATTACAATCTCCCTTGCATCATTCTTGATGTCTCATTTCACATGCATGAACACACAGCACAGAGAATACTCTATGTCCTAAAAGGCGGTCTTCATGTTTACTAGTATCATTTTGAACTCTAGGTTTTCAGAAGTGTGTTAGTAAGAAGCAAAGTTCCTAAAGAGTTAAAAAGCTATGGTAATTCAAGGAAAGGGGTAATTATAGCTAATGTGTGCGTGGGGACAATTGGCAATTCTGGTCCCACTACAGGGCCTCGACATTGGAGTTTATAACTTGCTGAGTCCAAGCTAAATTTTACTGTCCTGGAAATGTCACTTCGTACATTTCAATGCACACATTTAATACACTTCCAACTCATGGCAACGCTGTGTAGGGTTTCCAAGGAGCGGCTGATGGATTTGAACTGCCGACAGTGAGTTTCTGACCTAACTTGTGATCCAGTGCTCCATCCCCCATCGCCACACCAGAGCTCCAAAGTTTCCTTTAGGAGTTTTCTCTTAGTATTTCATGCATATCCTTCCATCCTTTGTTGTCAAGATAACTTGCTTTTGCTCTTTTTAAATGAAGTAGCGTCTTGTACTGTGATGCTGTGGGACTTCCAATATTCTGTTTTTCCTTGCACTTTGACCTGTTTCAGCAGGCATGGATAATTATTAGGTATTATTATTATTATTGTAGCGTTTACCCAATTGTATTCTCTGTTTTGATCATTTCCTCTACATTGATAAATTGGAATTCTTCAGAAATGAGCATTTCTAACTCTTGTGCAATGTAGTTTTTGATACGGGTTTTCCATCCCTAGTTTTTGTAACACCCACCAGATTACTAGGGGACTGTACAGATAGGGCGCTGAAGACTGTTAACACAAGGAGGCTCAGTTTGGCCATGACGCTGAGTCTGCACGACGTCCTCCCGCAGGCACAAGAGGCTCTGAATACTAACAGAAAACAAAGCCACCAACAATTGCTGCTTACAGAACTGCGGACCCATTTGGTTGGCATCAGAGGCACCAACATGCTTTCGCCTCCAAAGTTTTGGCCTTCGCTATCGAATTTTAAGAAACGTTACTGTAAAATGTTGTGTGTGATACAAACTTTGCCTTTTTAAACACCTTAGGTGCACAGGTGTATTGGTGCTTGTTCTTGTGGGTGTCATAACGTTAGTTCTGACGCATAGCAACCCTGTGTGTGGTTTCTGAGAACATTTGCTGGGTTTGAACTGCCAACCTTGGCAGTTTGTAGTCCAGTGCTTATCCTGCTGTGCCATGCCAGGGTCTGATCAACGCATCAGTTGTATTCAGACTGTTGTGTGTAAACGTTAGGGCTCTGTGTCAACCTGACTGAGCCAGGATTTCCAGT